ATATATATATATATATATATATATATATATATATATATATATATGTGTGTGTGTGTGAAAGCATGTCAAAATCAAGAATAAAACAGTGAACCTTTTTTGTTGTGCACTGAATAATTGGCTAATCATTTATAGTCTTATGACAAAATGTATTTAAAATTACGAGGCTAACAGTGAAATTTAATTATAAAATAAATATTTCCTGTAAAAAGGGTCTGAATATATATTAAAATATATATAAGATCTATTTTCTCTGTGTTTTCATGTTTTACTGTGAAACAGAAACATGTAAATAATACAGATGAATGAGAATTTATCGTTTTTACTCTCACCTGATTGACATATTTAAGATAAGATAAGATAAGATAAGATAAGATAAGAAAACCTTTATTAGTCTCGCAATGGAGAAATTCCCAATACACACATACACTTTTTTAAAAAATGTTATTTGTTAATACTGTATTCCAATTGAATGATTGTTGAAAACATAATTTAATACACAACCATTTCGCTATGACACAACATCAAGAGTAAAGGTAAAAATGATTTTTCTCATATTAAAATGCCAGTGTGCTCTGTTTTGATTCGTCAACGCTTGATTTATAAGGCTCGTTCTGAGTGACAAAATAACTAGCGCGTAGCGGTGGTTTTATACAGTGGCGGCATTATTAAGATTATATAACCATTATGTAATATTACCATCAATCCATTAGTGACCTTTACCAATACCCGATTCCAGCACCGCTTTCAGCTAAGCTATGCTAACTTTTTATAGTCTCAGTCGAAGCATTATTCATGTTATATAACGTTAAGGTGTGCATGCGGGCTCCATTAGTGACCTTAATGGATGCAACCGCTGCTTTGCGTTAACGAAGCAATGCTAACTTAGCATCTACAATCTTATTAAGAATAAAAAGGTAGCATGTAACTGTGTTGCTTCGATAGTTCCCGTCAACTGTGAGACAGTAGTAAAGTTGGATAACATTAGAGTGCTCATGCCGGTTTCCATCAATGTCCTTAGCTGAAGAAACCATCATTTTATGCTCGGCTATGTTAGCTTAGGTCCTGCAAAACATACACGAAGTAAAAAGCTAGCTTGTGACACCATTGTTTCTATTGTTCCAGTTGAATATGTGGCATTATTAAGATTATACCATATAGTGCAACTGCTGCTTCATGCTAAGCTATGTTAATTTACACAAAACTTACTAGGAATAAGCTAGCACGTAACTGTTACTTTTATAGGGCCAGTCGACTGTGGCTAATTAATGTTATGTAACATCTGATGAAACCATCGTTTTATGCTAAGCTATTTTAACTTAGATCCAACAAAACATACATGGAATCGAAAGCTAGAAAGTAACTGTGTTGTTCTGATACTTCCTCTTGATTATATGGCATTTTTCACATTATATAACGTTAGTGTGTGCATGCAAGGACTCCTTGGGTGACCTCATTCGACCCCCACACTTAGTGCTCAGGCTAAGCTAATGTTCCGAAAGCAAAATTGTGATCGGCTGACTCAACAAAGACATTTGTTGGCAAAATTTAAGCGAGGGCCACGAAGGGAATAGAGCCGTGGGCCGCGGCAAAAAAAAATAAAATAAATAAAATGGTTGTGCGAGGAGGAAGCGGAAACTGCACAGTAAAGACTAAACACTTTTGGCAGCACTGAGGAAAAAGATGGGGACATGGGGAGTTATTTATTTATTTGAAACAAAAAGACTGCGCTTAAATTACAAAGACACGCAAATAGTAATCACGAATAACAACAAAGGTAAGCTTTTTTTTGTCGGGACGCGACACATAAAAGGGAAATGATGAAGAGAGAACAAGTGGAAGAAGGAATGAGGAAGAGAAGGAGAAAGATAAACAGCAGTAGAGGAGAATGAGGAGGGAGAGGAGGAGGAGAAGGAGAAAGAGGTCGCGGAGGAAGAAGAAAGATGTGGAAAAGGAGGACGGGGACGAGGAGCAGAAGAGGAAGCAAATGATGAAGAGGAGGGAAAAAAAGACTGTGATCAATTTTCACTTGGCGTGGTTTTCGTTTTCCTGGCAGCCGAGTTGCTCTCGTTATTGATCTTCCTGTTCATTCCCATGCTCCCTATGATCCTGAGTTTGACCCTTCGCCCCACACACACACACACACACACACACACACACACACACACACAAACACACACACACACACACACACACACACACACTTGCCGAGTACACAGTATGTGCGTTGTGCCTTGTGCTAAACTTGCTAGCTTCAAGGTGAGCCTAGGCGGCAGTTTTCAGGGATGCCAAGGACTGCGGGTGGGCGCATAGCTTTGTCCACAACGACAAAAAAATATATATTCGGGTGTGTCAAACGACAGCGCTAACAATGCTAACCTGGTCGTACACCCCGTGGTGTAATACCGCAATTTAAGCGTTATGATCCGTGTTGCTCAACTCTCACTTCTTACTTCTATGCTAGCTAATCGATTCTTCAATGTCGTGGAGTGTCCAAATTTGGATTTCTTCAATTTAAGCGTTCTAAAGATGGTTACTGTCCGCAATAACTTTGAACCTGAATATCTTCCATGCATATTTTAACTTCCTATTCAGCAATTTTAGAGGCGATGTTATTATGAGATGTCTTGGAAACGACTGGCATAGCGATAATGCTAATGCTAACCTTGTTATGCAGTAAACCCCATGGAGCAATACCTCATATTAACCGTCCCGATCTTAAACGTTATCAATAAGACCAATATGCGCACAAAGACATTACAAGGTCAACTGTGCTGTGAATTATTTGTTGTTTTAAATTCAAGGACTGCACCTTTTAACATTACCGGTACCACTTTTTTTTTCCTTCCTGCTTTTGCTTTAATAAGGCCAATGAAGGATTAAATTATTAAACTTGATGTTTGAATCTGTCGCTCGCCCACGTGTGATGAGGAAGTCGGCCAGAACGCACAAAAGAAATGCTTGGATAAGCTCCTTTCACCACATTACACAGTGTGTGTGTGTGTGTGTGTGTGTGTGTGTGTGTGTGTGTGTGTGTGTGTGTGTGTGTGTGTGTTGCCCTGCAGCACTAAGTCAGCCCCTCATGAAGCTAAAATGTTTCCTTTTACTTCCATTAATGTCGCTTTGACTGTGTTTGACAGTCAAGCATCCCCCTGCCTGGCTCCCCCTTCTTGTTTATGCTAGTTGACGTCGGTTACGTGAGTAAGTGATGGCAGCAGCGAGGGGATGCTGCTGCATGACAGTGGTCAGCTGATGCTGCCGGATGACGCCATTGAAGGGATGATGGCTGTGAAGTGAAGAAGCGGCGATGCTGGATGAAGGCGGCTTAGTGATGATGCTGGATGACAGCAGTGAATTGAAAGTGCTGAATCACAGCAGTCAAGTGATCATATTGGATGACAGCAATAAAGTGATACCGTGGTGTTAGATGACAACGATTAATGATATGACACCAGTGCAATGACGATGCTGGATGACAGCAGTGATAATGACGGGTGATATCAGTGAATCGATGTGCTGGAAGCCAGTATTGACGTGAAGATGCTGGATGAAAGCAGTAAAGTGATGATGCCAGATCACAGAAATGAAGGGATGATGCTTGATGACAGAAACTAATTGATGACACCTGATGAGAGCCATAATTTGGTGATGCCGGATGACAATATTGAAGTGTCGATGCGGCAGGACAACAATGGCGTGATGATGCAGGATGACAGCATTTAGGTCAAGATGCTGGCTGAAAGTGAATTGATTATGACAAAAGTTAATTGATGATCCTGGATGGCGGAAATTAATTAATGGTGCTGGATGACAGCAAATAATTGATAACAGTATTGAAGTGAAGACAACGGAGGGCAAAAATGATGTGATGTTGCAAGATGACAGAATTCAAGTTAAGATGCTGAATGAAAGCAAATCATTCATAATGATGGAAGTGATTCGTTGATGCTGAGTGATGCACTTAAATTGTGATGATGGATGACGGTCGTGAAAAGATTATGCTGGATGATAACAATTAATTGATGATGCTGGATGACACTGGTAAAGTGACAGTGATGATGCGGCATGACAGCAGCAAAATAATGGTGCTAAATGATGGCAGCTAAGTGATGGCAACACTGAAACAATAATGCAAGATGACGGTGGTTAAGTGAAGATGCCGGATGATGTTGGTTCAGTAATGTCGCCCTGATTGCTGACGTATTTAGAACAAGTGTAAGTGGGTGTTAGCGAAGTGACCTGCATTTCACCTCCATCACTCTGTGCCATTTAATGACTTGTAATCTCACACCCGTGCGCACATCCACGCACACCCACACACATACAGGTCCTCGATAAAAAAATTTAATATAAGAAAACGTTGTTTTATTTCAGTCATACTATTAAAAAAGTCAAACTTGTGTAATGCATCCATTAATTCCATGCAGACTGATACATTTCAAATGTTAATACATTTTAATTTAGATGATTATATCTGAAAACGAATAAAAAAAATCAAATTCACTATCTCAAAAACACACTCGAATTGTTTTCTTTCACATGCGAAAGTGAAACACATCTACACGTGTGTGTGTGCATTTTAAGTGCACGTGTGTGTGTGTGTGTGTGTGCGTACGCATGTGTGTGAGTGTGAGAGAGAGAGAGAGAGAGAGAGTGTGAGAGTGACATCTTTGTAGCTGATCTCACCTTCAACTTCAAAGCCCTCCAGGCACACACACACACACACACACACACACACACACACACACACACACACACACACACCCTCGCGTTTGTCATTCAAAGTGGCACATTGTGCACCGGGCAACCCCTGACATTTCTCGGCAGGAGGAAGAGAAGGAGTACGTGGGAAAAGATGAAGGTTAGCGAAACGTTAACGAAGCGAAGAGCTGAAATGTTTCATGGGGGTCCCGCCATGACGATGATGATGATGATGATGCTGATAATGTCATCTGTTACTATGACACTGATGATGACGATGACAATGGCATCGATGACAAATATGATGAGTACGGCGATGATGATGATGATGGTGGCGATGACGACTGCCATGATGGAGAGGGCAACCATGATGATGTCATCAACATTGTTGTCATTACCATTATCGGCATCAACACCGTCGTGGTTACCACCGCCAATGATGGCGACCACGACGATGGCGAGAAGGACAACTACGGTAACGATGTTGATGAGGATAATAACGAAGAGGAGTGATGATTATAACACCGATGACGATGACAACGATGACGAAGCCAACGCTCGAGGTCTTGTGGAGCGGCTTGTGAAAATCGCTTAGTCGTCATTGACATCTAATTAGCGGTGGCGAGGTGGTCCTGGATTTTTAACGAGGTCGTTGTCAAAAGTTAAAGAGCAGACGTCGGCGTCCCGTCGGCACTCTGACGGCGACGCAGGTGTCGAAAGAGGAGGAAGAAGAAAAACAAAAAGACACTAACGAGCTCGTCTTTCAAGAGGTGTCAAGGACTTCGGGCTCGGCTCTTTTTATTCAGTAATTTGACTTACTAAAAGTGTGGTTCGACTTAAATCCTGTAGGTGGTGCCAATTACCACACACAGCAAAGGGTACAGTCGTTCTTCTCCGCACAGCGCCATCTTCTGGACGTGGTGGGTTGCTGCACCATAAACTTCGAAGCCATTTTATTTGGTGGGGGATAGGGAAGCAAAAACCTGCCAGTAATTGACCACCCCCCACTCCCCAAAAATACAAATGCATGTCGATGCCACAAAATGGCGTCAGAGCTTACCTTTTACAAAGAACAAAGCAGCTTATTGCTTGTGAAAGGAGGACTGTTGCAGAGGTTGTGTGTGAGTTTGGTCAGATCTTGTTAGTGTCTGTTGTGACTCAAAGCTACAGGACACGATGGCCTTTTCACTGAACTTTGCACGTCTGCTTCTGCGTGTGTGTGTGTGTGTGTGTGTGTGTGTGTGTGTGTGTGTGTGTGTGTGTGCGCGTGCGCGCATGCACAAGTGCGTTTTTTATTGTGTGCATGTAATTTTGTCAACTTGTGTCTTTGTTTGAGTTGTGTGATTGCGTGCGTGTGTGTTTTTGTTTTGAGTTTGTGTGTGTGTGTGTGTGTGTGTGTGTGTGTGTGTGTGTGTGTGTGTGTGTGTGTGTTGCTTTCAAGGTCCGACACGATGATGAGCAGGTGTGACACCCTCCCTCCCCTGAACCCCGGTGAGGAGCTGACGGAAGAGGAAAAGCAGATCATCAACGACGTGTTGGCCCGCGCTGCCAAGATAGACGCCATGGAGCAGCAACGTATACAGTGAGACCATGTCATTCATCAATCCATCCATCCATCATCAAGCATAAATACATTTCTCCATTCATCATGTAGTTATTCATTCATTCATTCATCATCCATCCATCATCAGTTCAGTCCTCCATCGTCTATCCATCATCCAAAATTAAGCATAAATTCATTTATTCTTCATCATCCATCCATCCCTTATCCATTCATCTATCCATCATCATGCATAAATTAATTTATCCATCAATCATCCATCATGCATTTAATCATCTATCCATCCATCATGCTTTCATACATCCATTCATTCACTCATTCATCTATCCATCTTAATACATTCATTTGTTTAGTCATTTACCATCCATCCATCTGTCATTCATCTGTCCATCCACCATGCAGTTATTCATCTATTACCTATCCATTAATTCATCTACTGATCTGCCCATTGCGTCACTGATGATGTCACTGGGTTGTGTGTGCGGGGCGTGTGTGTGTACAGTCTCCTGTCCATCCGTCTGGAGGACGCTCAGAGGACGGCGTGCGGGGACGGACGCTCAGCCTGTCTGCTTTGTGGCGCCGCATTTGGGGGCGGCGGCGTCACGGCCTCCCTTTGCGTCCGCTGCAGGAAAGTACGAGTGACATCCTAATGATTTGAATCAATTCATTCGAAAGCCTTTCGTGTCATGACGTTGTGTTTTTAGTCCCACTAAATAAATTTTAAACGATCATTTTGATTTTACACATTTGCAATGAATTGATTCAAGCGATCGATGCCATGGTTGAAGATATTGTGGTTGTTGTGCTGTTTACAGCAAGTGTGCAGCGATTGTGCGGCCCAAAGTAGCTCGACGTCATCGTGCTTGTGTTCCATCTGCAAACAACATCTAGAAGTAAGCAAGCGCACAAGCCACACCGGCAGAATTCGGTCCCCATTTGCCTCAACGGCCCTTCACTGTACTCCTCCCCTCCGCTCAGGTGCAGAAGCGTTCCGGAGCTTGGTTCTTCAAGGGCCGAGCCCCCCACCTCCTTCCTGACCCGTTGCCGCTAGCCCAACCGCCACTCACTGGCCCGGGAGCCACCGATGCAACCGTAGAGGTGCCGCTACCTCATCAGACTGGTACGTAGCCAGTTCCAATTAGCTTGGGTGCTAACCTATCAAATGTACTCAAATGCTCCCTGGTAGCGACCCAAATCCTCCTAAACTGAAATGCTACCTAAAAGTTAACAAAATACTATTAAATCTCTAAAGTACTACTTGAAAGAAACTTAAATACTCCTAGATCAGGGGTCTCAAACTCATTTTTGTTGCGGGCCACTTTGGAGTTCCGTCCCTTGGAGGGCTGTTGTTCAACTGTAGTTTGGAGCTGTATTGTTACCATTCACCACTAGATGGCAGACATAGCTAAGTGCGCTTAGCTGCCATACATTCCAATGTGCCTATTTCGAATGAAATGCAGGACGAAAATAGCACCTGAATAATCTTGAGTTTGAGTGAGTTGAGTTTGTGTTGGTTTGCTGTTCAGCAGTTTTGTGCTGTCCTTGAATGGTCTTTTTTTTTCCACGGGGGGGGGGGAATCACATACTGTATGTGGTTATTTTGTTGTTTGCTTCAAACCGTTTGTTGTTGGCTTAAATTCCTCTCTCCTTTTATTATTTGTGGTTTTATCTGTGGTTTTATTGTTCTTGTTTGATTGTAAAGTGTCCTTGAGTGTTTTGAAAGGCGCTTATAAATGAAATGTATTATTAT